TAATTTTTACTGTATCATCTAAGTCCTCTATATTATTATTTTTAAAAAATGTGTTTGACATATTGACTTCTGAAATAGACCTAGCACCCCCCATCGTGAATATATATAGGTATATACTTTCAAATTCTTTTTGTTTTATCAGAGTTTTTGTTTTATGTAGTTGGCTGTTATGTTAGTTGATGTATAAAGCTTTATGACTGTTCTATCTTCTTTGTGGGTTGTGGCTTTTATTATCACACAGTATTCTTCTGTGTCTTGTTTAACACATTTGTCCTTGAATTTTGCTTTGTGTGACAGTGCCACTTTGGCTTCCTTTTTGCTTGTTTTTGCACAAGTCTTGTTTAAAACAAGTCTGTTGTTGCCTCTATTTTTAACTTTTTGTTTGAAAATATGTTTTTTAAAAAAATAACACAACTGGGTTTTATTTTAAATTGTGCCTGACAGTCTCAGATTTTTAAATAAAATTAATTCTGTTCACATTTATTGTATTAACAAATATACTTAAGGTTTGTGTTTGTTTTCTATATCAGTTAGGTATGTGCTTGACCAGAGATAACAAATCATAGAACTAATAGTTGGCTAATTAAACAAATCTTTCATATTTATATTATCTCCTTTCATTTAATAACTGCAGAGCTTTATTTTTGGAAGTGTCTTGTTTTTCTCAAATGACTAGAAATCTGCCAATGTCTTTCAATGAGTGGTTCAATTTAGTTGTTAACAAGATCTTTCAGGGTGCATCCTTTTCTGTCTTTCAGCTTCCCCATCTATTACTTGCAGAAGTCTTCCAGCAGCTTTGAGCCTCACTTCCTCATTCCACAGAGGAAAAGAAAGTGGGGTAAAAGAGAAAGGAATGAAGGACTTTCTCTTAAGAAGCTTCACTTTTTCTACAGCTAGGGAGTGCCCTTCATGGAGACTTTTGCTTGTATCACTTTTGTCAAAAACAGGGACATCTAGTCACTCCTGGTTCCATTACTTGCCAATGAGAATAATACTACATGCTCAATTTAGATGATTGTTATTTGTCCTTTGAGTATGGGATAGAAACTCAGCTTTTGTGAATATAAGAATTTCTTGCTATTCCCCAAACAATTGGGGTTCTATAGAGAAGGAGGAAGGTGGCCTGGGGTAGTTAGTAGGTAGAAATTGACAGTGTTTGCTGTTGTAGTTATACTTTTTTGTTGTTTTCTCTCTCTTAGTCAGCTTTTGATTTCTTTTACAAAATACCCAAGAAAAATAATTTAAAGAAGGAAAGATTTATTTTGGCTCATGGTTTTAGAAGTTTCAATCCATGGTCAGCCAGCTGTGCTGTTTCTGGACCATGGGGAGGCAGGACATCATGGCAGAGAACAGTGGTGGAGGAAAGCTGCTCACCAGATGGTAGGCAGGAAGCAGAGAGAGAGGAAGTCTCCAAGGACAAAACGTCTCCAGTGACCCACCTCCTCCAACTAGGCTCCACCTCCTGAAGTCTCCACCACAGCCCAACAGCACTAGCAGCTGGGGACCAGGCCTTCAACAGATTGAGCCTTTGTAGAACATTTCAGATCCAAACCCTAAGACTCTGCTCACTTTACTTACTTTGCAGGTGTGGGGAGCCTCTTACCACTTACTCTCCCCACTATGAATGGGCAGGTTTTATAATTCTAGTAGTGGTTGCCTCCTTGTGTATATTAGTCACAATTAAACCCTGTTTCTCTATTATTATATTGCTTTTAATGTATAAGAAAAACCCCAGTGCCTTCCTATATTAGGGAAATTAATGGTACCATGTGCAAGAGATGAACCCTAAAATTTTAGTAGATTAATACAATGAAGGTTTATTTCTTGATCACATCACAGTTTGGTGTGAGTTGGGTAGCTCTTCTGCGTGACTTTCTTTCAGACACTGACTCATGGATCAAGCTGCTTTATTTCCTTGAAATTCTGTCATTTTGGATTCATTTATTTCCTGCAAGGTGGACAAGAGAGAAAATGTGGAAAGGCTTATCCACTGTTAACAGCCCTAGCCTGGAAGTGGCACCAATCACTTCCTCTGATATTTCATGGACTAGAAGTCAAGCATAAGGTCCCATGGGACTGGAAGGACCTGGAGGGCAACTGTAGCCATTGGTGGGCTCAAGAAGAGGACTATGCTTAGTGGACATAGCATTTCCAGTGTCACAGATTGTCATCCTAATAATTTACATACTTTACTCTTCTTTGTATGAAATATGCTTACTCCTTCAAGGGCAGCAAGCCACTGTACTGAGCTCAAAGTCTGTGGTCTTTAAGGTACTACGTTAGTCTGAATGTACTATGAATACAAGCCATTTGAACAATGCCTCACCCTTAAGCCACAATATATAGTGGTGGACCAGGGCCAGGCATCTCTAAGGGGATTTGGAAAAGGGAGAATGTAAGAAACAGTTTGTAGCAGCCTGAAGCCTGGTGGATCAGGTTCTGAGCAGTTCCTGCTTTGGCAGGACAAAACTTAGCACTCAAGTGAGCTCCTCCTTCGTCATGACTCCCTTTTGCCTTCCCTGAAGTGAACCTTCCTTGGACTAGCCTTCCTTGGATCAGGGTAGCCTTGTAACCTGCCTCCTGCTCATTGCAGGTGGGTACCCAAGGAATTTTTGAGTCTTCAACAATCAAACACTTTTTAGTGCAGACTCAAAAACTTAGGAGATTTCTCATCTGTTTGCTTCCACGTCCCAGGAATAACTTCTAAAATTCTTTTCTAGATGTTGTCTCACATTCACTGCATGTGTTTGGCTCTTTACCCCGATATGTCTTCCTTTCACCTGTAGAGCATCTACCTTGGGGTTCTTTGTAAAACTGTGAGAGATCACACTTTTTTTTTTTTTTTTTTTGTGGTACGGGGACTGAACTCAGGACCTTGCACTTGTGAGGCAGGCATGGTGCCACTGGTGCTTGCGAGGCAGGTGGTGGAACCACTGAGCTAAATCCCTGGACCCCGAGATCACACTTTTAATATGCTTGGTCAGGCAGGTTTCTCTGAAGAGCAGAGGCCAGAGTGGGATTTATCATGAAAGGGATTAATTAAGGGACATGGCTGTGTAAGAGGGCAGGAGGATAGAGGAGACTGCAGTGCCAGGTTGACCTTGAGTGAAGGAGAGAGGGAGGTTGGGAAGAGGTGTTCTAGACAGCCATGCTGTGCAAATGAGGTTTTGCAGAGATGGGTGTCTCCCGGGAATGAGTGTGGCGTGTTGGAAGCTGCGGAAACTTCTGAAAAACATGGGCTTTGGTAAGCACAAAGGTCTCAGTGTTACCAGATCATGGGTCTTAGTCAACAGATTCCTAGTGTCCTGATCAAAGATTTGAGCAGAACACTAAAAGGGAGCAGCAATGTCAAAGATTTATTGAATGTGAAATTATACTCTACAGGGTGGGAGCAGGTCAGTGAGAAGAGTGCATGGCTCTGAGGGGGCCTGGTCCTGAGGGTTTAAGTCTCAGAATTTGGGGTGGAAGTGAGGGTTGGTCTAAGTTTTGCCCTTGCCAATAAGTGGTTTGGCTCTGTTCCACTGGGCAGTGGAATTTTTGATCTTTCATGGCCCTTGGAGGAACTGTCATCATACTCAAAGCCCATGGGGGTGTGGCGAAAACTGCATAGTCAATAACATGGTAATTAGGGCTGAGGTTGGCCAAGGGTTGCTGAAGACCACTGGGAAACTGCCCAGAGATTTACTGTATATAACTTGGGTTACCTGGTTACTGTCTCCCATTGTAGTTAGACCTGGATATCCCAGGCCTGGGTTAAAGGTTAACTCAAAAAAAGTTCATCTAGCCCAGAAAGCAGGCTCCAAGGCAAGGTTTTCCTTCTCTCTATAGCCATCTTTAAACTACCTCCTGCCTCACTGGGGCTGGAGAGCTTGGTCACTTATGCCCCTTGAAGCTGGGAGTCAGTGCAGCACATTCTCATAGCCAGCGTAATGCTTTGTGTCCTAGGTTATTTTATTCACCCAAGAAGTTTGATTGGGGTCTGTCATGAGGAACCTTTAATAATCCCATCTCTTCAATTTGGGCCCTAGAAGAATATGAGATGGTTTTTCTAATCCTATGCATTCCCAAATTTCTGTATGGTCTCTATTCATTTTCATTTCTAGTTTCAAAACACTCAATTGTTCTGTGAATTCATTTAACACTTGGCCAAACATGACCACTAGCAACCAATACACATTACTAAGATTTTGTGTTCCAACTTCTTCCCTTAGAATGACAAGTTCAGGAAGCATGGGGACCTGCCTTTTAGGTGATCGTGTTTGACATGTTTACCAAACGCTTTGCTCCTGCATTACATGGGTCTTCAGTCACTCAGCCCACTGGATATCACTCACCACCCGACTGCTAAAGCCGTAACAAGGAGCTTATATTTGTTTCAACAACACCCTATTTTAAAGACTGATCTCTATTTAAGACACAATAATTAGTGAATTTTGTTCCAATAGGCATACTGAGAAATCTCAGTGGCTGGATCTAGCACAGATTTATTTCTTGCTCACATTACAGTCTGATATAGGTCACAGAGACTCAGGTGCCAGATTTCTTCCTTTTTCAATTCACCGTCTCTGGTTCTCTTTCTAGCAGTGGATAGCAGAAAGAGAGTACAGAGAAGGGTCCCAGCCACTAACTGCCTCAGGCCAGGAGTGACACAAGTCACTTCCTACAGTGAGTGCTGCCCTGGCACTTGGTATCCTCTCAGATGAGGAGCTCAAGAGGGCTCAGTCTTAGATGCCAGTTTTGGCCCTGGAAAGTGCCCCAGCAGACTGGCTGGGCTGTCATGCTGCCCCCTAGAGGGAAGGGAGGGACAGGGGATGTGGAGGAGCCCGCGGGCCATGTCTCCCTGGGCTCCTTTGGAGGATGATGGCTTTGTTGAGTGATGTAATGGGTGCATGCCATGGGCCAGTTTAAGTCATCCCTTACTGCTTAGAAATCAGATATGTTTCTCCTTCCTCATTTGTTCCTCCTCCTATTGTGTGGCAGCCAGCAACAGGCATATCCAGTGGCTCCTGGGAGAAGATGGTGAGGTCTGGGTCTGGGTCATGGGAGAAGGCCCTGGTGACAAACCCTATGAAGAGATCTCAGAGGAGCTGATCACCGAGAGGGCACGGCTGCAGGCGCAGAGGGAGGCTGAGGAGCTCTGGTGAGGGGGACTGGGGCAAGATGGGCACCGGGGCCTGAACCTTGGGGTGGGTTTAAGCAGAGGACCAGAGGGAATGGGTGGGAGGGACACAGTTGAACTCAGCTAAGGACAGGTGACCAAAGCCTTGGAGTCCTGTGTCTGGTAACCAGGTAGGTTCAAATCCTGGCTTCACCAGTTAGCAGTCAGCTGACCTGGGCCTGCACTTTCATATCAGTGGTGTGGGCCTAACAGCTCCTTCCTGCACGCCTACAGCATGGAGCCACCTAGATATGGGTGCCACATGCATTTGCTTTGCCTTCACTTGGCTCTCACGAGGACAGGAAAGCAATTTGGATTCAGTTCTGTTATTTGCTTGTTTCACTTCCTGTTGTCCTCGTTTCTCACATAAGAAGGACAGGTGAGTCCTGGGTGAGGTTTGGAATTATCCTTCTTTCATAAACAGCTAACGTTTCCACCAACCTGGAAATCCACAGTTGACCCAACCCCTCCATCCCAATTTTGAATGATGGTGTTTTAATTGTAAAATTGTAAAAGCATATAAACAACACTGAAAATTATACAGAATAAATTAGAGAACAATCAACACCCATCACCTAATATAACCACAGTGAACATTTAGGTGATACATGCTTTGCAAAGTGTTTTATTCACATCTTGACAAATTGATGAATACAAATCCATATCACTATTTAAGATTATTATATATAATATTCTATTATAGGGGAAACCCAACTTATTGGTCCTATTGATAAACACTTACACTGCTTGCCATTTTCTGCTATAAAAATCTGATGAACATTTTCTGCATACCCCTTTGTATAGTTGACCGAGATGTGGGATTTCTAAGTCTGGTTTTGGGGGCTTCCAGAATGATTTGGCTGGTTGACACCCCAGCACATGACAGTGCCTATTTCTTCCATCCTTTGCCAATGTTGAATTGTGTTGATCTTCAATATTTTCCATTCTTTAGACCCAAGAAAGATTTCTCATTGTTGTTCTGTGAAGCCCACTGTGACATGGTCCTTCAGGCTTTCACTCAGGCTGATTCTTGCTGGTGCTTTCTTGAAAGGAGACAGAAAGAAGCAGAGATCACTAAGAAGTTCCGGGATGCTCTGGCCAATGAAAAAGCCCGGATCCTGGCAGAGAAGTGGAAAGTGGAGATGGAGGACCGCAAGGCTGCCAAAATCCTGGAGGAACGCATCCATGAGGAATTCAAGGTGGGACAGAGCATGAGTCACCGGTGTGTGGACAATTGCTCCAGCCCCTGCAATTATTGGGAATGACCTCTGGCTTGGACTTGTCTCTGGCCATTGGTTGTCACTGAGTGCTTAATGAGAACAGAAATCTGGCATGTCTGAGCAGGATAGAATTTGACATACCATTTCGGCCCATCCACTTCTTAATGTACACATGAAGAAACAGAGGGTCAGATAGGGAAAGAGTATTGCCAAGGCTACAGGTAATAGTGTTGGGGACAGAGTCAGGACTAGAACTCAGGCCTTCTGTATCTTATACCACGGGTCCTGAAATGAACTGGGTCTCTGGTTAGACCAATGTGGGATCTTGTTCCTCCTCAATTGCTTACCACTTAGTGACTCTAGGAAACTTGTCCAACTTCTCTCAGCCACCACTTTCTTTTTGCTAATATTTGGGCAATAAGAACACTCTACTTGAGTTTTTAATGAGGATTTAGTGAGATGATATATGTACATTTTTGGCCCCAGGATAGGTTGATAACGTTTCATGTCTGCTTGTTCTAAGAGACTTTGGATACGGGAGAGGGGCTACATTGTTTTTTGGTAGGAAGCTTAAATTGCTTGCGGACACGTTTTTTTCCTGCTCTTCATTCTGTTATTTTTAACTTTTTCTTTTTTGCTTGTTTGTTTTGCTACAGGATCAATACATTTTATTGGATAAAAGACAAAGAAAATACAGACCAACAGAAAAAAAGATAATCATGCTAAATCACAACCTTGCATTATTTTATGAGTTGCATTGTCAAAGAAATACAGCCAGACATTAGTTAGAGCAGTGAAAACAGATTTTTTTCCCCCAGTAACTACTGGTAGTGGAGAAAGAGCTGAGCTGCCTTCCAACTGGTGCAGAGGTGATGAGTGTTTGAATGGGTGAATGAGGGAGAAGGGAGAGTAGATTCTCAGTGAATTTGAGAAAGTGGAAAGGGATGGTCAGTGTAAATGCCACCAGGCAGCTCTGTCTTCTGCCTGGCAGTTACTGAAATTTAGACTCTGCCCTCCTTCCGAGCCTGGGAGCCAGAGGGGCTTGCTTTCCCAATGAGGACATTTCAATGGAATGACTCTCCAGTCCTTGAGAGATATACTTCTGAGTTGTAAGAGACACACATTCAGCATTGTAAGCTTTTTCTAGTAAATGCTCTAAGAAAGAGTAGTCTGGGCCCATCATTAGGTGCTGGTCAGGGAAAACAGTATATTTTTTCTGGTAGCATTGAGCTTTCTCAGGCAGGCACATTGACAAGGTCGGGAGTCACCCTTGGGCAGGGTCATGTTTGGTCCAGACTTTCAGAGCAGGAGTTTGGCAGGAGTTATTTGTCTGTATATTTGTGGCAATTGCCCATTTGAAAATACTCCTTCCCTTCATAATGATTAGATAGTAAAGACACTGGGTTTTCTTCTTTGTTATTGTTTTTTCCTAACATGGTTATAGCATCTTCAGATGTACAGAAGCTTAATATTTTACTCACCAAATCTATGACTTTTTCTGTATCATTGGCTCCATGCTCAGAAAGATCTGTGTCACCATGAGCTTATCAAAATATTAATCTACATATTTTATATATCTTTCATGATTTTATTTCTTTTTTCATCTTACAGAGTGCTATGATATAAGGCTCTGATTTTGTATTTGTTCCAAATGATTAGCAAATTATTCCAGTATCATTTACTATGCAATATATCTTCTCCTTTTCCACTGGACTTGCTGCCTTAATTGGAGTTTTACTTTTTACTTAGTTCTAGATTTCTTCATTTATCTTCTCTGACTTACTGCTCCTAAGCCATTCTTAACTGTTTAATTATTGTAGCTTAACACATTTTTAGATGTATTAAGATAAGAGACTTACCATTACTCTTCATTTTCAAAATGTCCTTGGCTAATCTACCCATTTTTTTCTACCAGGGGAACTTTTGAATTATTTTATCATTATCCTTTCCCCCAACAACAAAACCCACAGTGATTTTCACTGGTATTGATTCAATGTGATGGCAGTGTTTATGAAAAATGGACACTTTTTACAATATTGAATCATTGAATTTTCTTCTTCAGGAATGTGGTATATTTCTTCTGTTAGCCAAAGCTTTTTGTCTTTGCTAAATTTTTGTTAAACATCTGTAAAATGTACTAGTCACCTAATTCTGAACATCCTCAATAATTTATATATAATTGTGTGTTTCTATGTTTTGGATCTTGGTAAAATTTATTTACTTTGGGTGTTCTACATTTCTTTCTTTGTTTTTTTTTTTTGGTACCGGGGATTGAACTCAGGACCTTGTGAGGCAGGCGCTGGAACCACTGAGCTAAATCCCTGGCCCCCACATTTCTATTTTTAATTAACACTTAGGATTAATGTTCATTGCAATTTTGAATGAGATTATCCCCATTAGTTTGCAACTACTCCAAGTATTGATATACATATATGTATATAGTTACTGAGCTCTTTATTTAACTTCCTATGAGTTGCAATTTTTGAGGGGACATTATCTTGAGTTTTTAAATAAAGCAATATTGACTCTTAAAACATTTTATTGTAAAATTTTCAAATATGCAAAGAACATGAAAGAGATATAGAATTAATACTTATATTTTCCACTTAAACTAACAAATTATTAATATTTTGCAAAATGTGCCCTTTCTCATATGTATGTATGTATATATACAATATATATGTACACACATATACAGTCAGCCTATCTATCATCTATCTATGCCATTACTGTTGTGTGGAACAGTTTGTAAGATAGTTCCTCTGATCAGTTTCTGTAAAGGGCCAGGTAAATATCTTAGCCTTTGGGGCTGTACCATCTAGGTCACATTCTTCAGCTCTGCCCTCCTAGCACAACTGCAGTTAAAGGCAATATGTAAACAAATACATGGGGCTGTGTTCCAATAAGACTTCATTTTAAAAAATAGATGGGGGCCAGATTTGGTCTGGGAGCCTCAGTTTTCAGACTTCTGGGAAAACCCTAAGAACTTTAGCACACCTCTCCTATGAATAAGGACATTGCCCTAGGGAGCCACAATAGCCACACCCACTGAAATTAACAATAGTTCTGTAATCATATGTCCAACCTAATCCACAGTGGAGAGAGATTTATATTTTTGGATTTTGCATATGATTATCTAGACTACTGGGGAAGAATCACTATTTCTTTTTATAACTCAACAGCAATACTCACTTGTTCCATCTTGGTCTCCCACTGCGCCTATGGGGCTGAGCCCCCGTGTCTGAGGAGAGTTGAGGGCAACTGCGTCTTGGGCCAGTTCATGAGGAGATCACGGAGGGATCCAGTTACTGTTGGAGACCTTCTGGTCGCTGGTCACCTTGAGAGCCTCTGTGATAGAAGAGGTGATAAATTGTGGGGTTCTTGGTGCCCAGGGTTATGGAGGGGCCAGCGAGGCCATCTAGCCAGGTCCTCAGGTCACTAGGGTATTCCAATGCAGGCTTTTGTTGTTATTTCCAAAGAAAGTTACAGTTACGATGCATTTGTTTGTGTTTTAAAAATTAATTTTTTAAATAAGAATGTTTCTTCTTTAGTAGAAATAGTCATACTGATTCTGTTTGTCTTTGTTTTGAAGAGCCTCAGAAAACACCATTGAGTCTGAACACCCAGATGGTGTTCAGGGACATCCGATCAAAGACTCAAGTTGGTTGGTCCACGTGTATGAGCTGGGGTATTTCTTGTTAGATTTGTCTTTAATGCACTTCCCTTTTGCTGTGTCCAGTTCTTCATCCCAGCAGGTCACTAAACACAGACAGAAACATTATTTGAAAATGTTTGAGTCTATGCTGGCTTTGAGGTTAGCTTTGATTTATAGAAGAGAAATGACTGTAACTTTTTAAAAATTTCTAATTACAGCATGTTTTACAAAATTGTAAATAAGACATCTAAATATCCAAAAAGCATAGAAAATAAAAATATTTTGTTGAATTCACAAATTCAAAAACATCAATATTTTCCACATTTGCTTGATATTTTAAAAAAATGATGCTGGGGTGGTAGTGGTGGTGCATGCCTGTAATCCTATCTACTCTGGAGGCTGAGGCAGGAGAACCACAATTTTGAGGCCAACCTGTGCAACTTAGCAAGAGAACCTATCTCAAAATAAAACAACAAAAACAGTTGGGAGTGGGGTGGGTAGCTCAGCACTTCTTGGGTTCAATTCCCAGTTATATGTATTGCTAAAAGTACTAAAGTCCCACATTTCCATCTTCTTTCCTTGCCGCCACTCTCCTAAAGCTATGTTTTCTTCTTGTTTGTACTTTATAAAATATATAAAGCCATAGTAACAATTTCTCATGGGATCACTATTTATAAATTATATAAATATCTAAATAAACTGCCCATCCCAATTCTCAATTTTTTCAAAATCTCTTCATTCTGTGCATTCCTTTCACAGCTATACACCATGTGAGATGGCTTTTCCATGACTGGTAGCATGGGCAGTAAGAGAATTTACCTAGACCAGGGCAAGGAAAAGAGAAGATTTATTGAATATATTGCTGGGTGGAGAGAGAGGGCAGTGGGTGAGACAAAGGGAGGTCTTCATGCAGGAGCAGAGGTGTGCTGTTTTTAGAGGGAAACAGGGAGTGCCTTGATTTGGTGCACACCTGGGGGAATGTAGGAACTATTGAGGCTATAGATCCAAGAACAGGGGGAAGAAAATATAGGAGGGGGTGGTAGGGCCAGATGGTCTTTGTCTTCTCTGTAGCTTGTGAAGATGGTATTCTTGTGATAAGGTTAAGTGTCAGGAGCAGGGGTACCATAGTAATCGTACTTGTTAGGGAAGGAGTATTAATGGCTATTTTTCTGTGAATTTCTGGAACAGCTCATTTAAGAACAGAGTACGTGACTCTGATATAGGGCTGAATGATGGGACAAATGGCCTCTCTTTGATTACTCAGCAATCCACAGTTCAACTTATAAAAGACAGCTGGAAGTTTGCTTGTAAAAACCATTTTGTTGTGACTGGTGCCATTTGAATGCAATACATGCACATAAAAGCCTCCTTTAGAACAAAACAAAACAAAACAAATCGGGATCCTTATACAATTTGCATCCCCTCATCTTGATTTCTTAATGTAAGGTGGCCTCTGTGTGCTTCTTTTGTTCAAGATCACAGAACAGGGCTCAGCAAGGCTCCTGCTCTCTCCCTCTGGTCCTGTCACCTTCCCTCTCCTCTCTCAAGTCTCCCTTTCACCCCACCCTCGGTTTCCCTGATAAAGAGCAGACACAAGATGTCCTCTGACTTCACTCCATTTTCTACTTGAAGCTGCTCTCTTGTTTTTCTCTCCTTTAATGTTGGAGTTCATGTGGGCCACTGAATGACGTCCTTCCTAATCATAGAATCTATCACTGCCTTATTCTCAACAAGACCATACATGGTAGGCAAACTTTCCACTTCTCAATTTTCTCTTGAAAATTTTAGACTTCACCTGATTCTCTCCTGACAAGGCTGGCCTGAACAAGATAACTTGATCTGGCTTACCCTTTCAGGGATCATACAAACCTTGTGTTACCCTTACTGCTCACTAACCACCCATCTCTCAGCATTGGTAGAGCACCAAGTTCCTGCCAGCCCCTGCAGTGTGAATTGCTGGTGGAGGAATGAATGAATGGCACATTTGCAGCCCTGCCCTTCTGCAGTGCATCATCAAGTGAAGCACAGTGGTATTGGGGCTGGATGAACACCATCATGATGCCTTATTTTTCTCCTTGACACTTTCCACTGGGGAGAGATGGCCCCAGGCCTCTGAGGGCTTCCATGGTGTGCTGTTACTGATGGGTTACTAGGAGAAGGCAGATGAATAAGCTGGACTGCTCAGAGGGCTTGGAACAGCTGGAACAAGGCCCTGCCTTACAGGGTAGCCACCAAGCAAGAGAATTGTGATGGCAGGGAAGGCAAGGATAGGCTGATTGGGACTGGCATTTTTGATCTCTAGTTTTCAAGGGTGATTAGTTTCCAGCTAGGTCTTATTTTCAGGAAAACATGGCACAGTAACAAGAAATCTTTAGGGTGGGTGGGATCAGTATAACTGGGTTCATTATAAGAAAGAAATTTGGACATAGGCAGCACTCACACAGAGGACAGATTATGTGAGGACACAGTGAGGTGGCCTCTTATCTCCCGAGGAGACAGGCTACAGGATGAAACAAGCCCTGCAACACCTTGTTTTTTAATGTATGTAATATGTATAGATATATAATGAAATTGGATATGTAATGCAAATTTAGTTAATGTTTTAGGTAGTTTTCTTTTACTCCGACTCACCCTAATCTGTTTTTTAATTTCATTTTTATTAGTATATGTTTACAATACATAATAATATTTATCTTGGGTAAATGGTATATATACGTATTGAATCTTAATTATTTCTACTTCCCCTTCCTCTCCCTGCCCTCTCATGTCCCCATAAAGACAGATAAACTTTTGTCATTTGTAGGAAAATGGATGCACCTTGAGACCTTAATGCTAAAAATGAAGTATATCGCACACGGGAGGTTAAATATCTGATGGGTTCTCTTATATGAGCAACCCAAAGTATAAATAAAGAGAAAAATAAATGTAGATATAAGAAATAGGGAGGCAGCCTTTGCAGAGATGGGAAGGGGGCATCTGGATTTCGGATCTGTAGTCTCTAGTCTTGAGGAAACAGCTTTCTATTGCTTAAGCCACTGTGTTACGGTAGCCCTTGCAAGTTAATGAGCCCCTAATGTGTTCCAGGGAGTAGGAACAGGGGTTGCATCCAGGACCTGATAGGATGCATGGCTTCTGTGCCCTTATGTTCATGGAGCCTCAGCAGCTTCAACTTGATTTGCCACTCCCTTCCCTTGACATGCTGTCTTCTCTTGGCTGCCCAAGAGGCATTGCCCCATATGGGCTTTTATCTTACACTTGACCTACCCTTTTGGTCCTCTTTTCTGGCTTGGACTTTCTCCACTTACAAATAATGGAGTGATTGGAAGCACTCTGATTGTCCTCTCTTCATCTGCACTCTCTCTCAGTGATGCCATGGACCAGAGGGAGAGGAAATTTGAAAAAGGAAAGGTTCAGGGCTTTACTAGGCAGAAAGAAGAGAGCAGGGCAAGGACAGGTAATAAAGAGGGAGAAGAAGGTCTGAACTTGGAACAGTGAGACTCAGAGGAAGTTTACCTTATGGTGTACAGGGCTGGCACATAATTTTTTGCAGGGTCTTTGTATTAACAATTAGAGCCTGTTAGCTTTGCTGTGAAACCAAATCTCATGTGATCTTGTGATAAAGATACTATGCTGACCATAGTATCTGCTTGTTTACCTCCTGTAACTGAGGCCCAGGCACCCGGCCCCAGGCTGGTGCCAAGAATATGAATCCTGGGGTTCCCTGAGGCATCTGGTCACCTTGTTTCATATGGGAGCAGGCCAGGGAGGAAACGGGGACCAGAGCATATATGGGATTTAGTCTGGGCATGGGCGACTTACCTGGACAACACTGCTGCCTGCAGTGCACCCCATTCCCCAGTCCTAGGAAGACCCGGCAAAATTTACAAGGAGATACTTCAAAGTATGGGTTCCCACAAAGCATGGGGCCCAGGCCAGGGACCCTGCTTGCTCAGATCTAAGAGCAGTCCTGCTTGTAGTCTGCTCCTCCACTGACTCCTGGAATGATGTTAGCCAGATAGCACTCAGGAAGGACAGAAAGGATTGTTCACCTTTCTGCGAACATCTTACAGAAAGGACCCCTAGAACCTTACACTTGTGATCCCAAAGTAGACAAGGACATCAACCAGGAAGTAGAACAAAGAAAACAAGAGATAGCAAACAAGAAAGAAGTGATAAAGCAGTTAGAAGATCAACTCAAGATAGGTAGGAGTCCTGCAAAGAAAGAAATGAGAGGAAAAGAAATTACCAAAGAAATTCTAAGCAAAGATCACACATTACACTGGACAGACATGAGACTCTAGACCTAAAGCACCCAAGAGCCCAACACAGTGAAGAAAAGAAAACCCACACCCAGGTCCATCATTTAAAACAGTTCAGAACATCAGCACCAAAGAGATCCTAAAGGTTTCTGGAGAGAAAATTTTACGATCTATGCAGAAAAGTGAGAAACAAAATGGTGGTACTGAGTGCTAGAAAACAAGGAAGTCAGTAAAGTCTTTAACATTTTGCAGGAAAAGAATTTTTAATCAAATTCTGTGCTCAGCTAAATTAGTAACTATACGTGAAAATAGCATATGAACATTTTCAGGTAAGTAAGGACTCAGAAGTATTAGGAAATAAATTGTAAAAACCCAAAACAAACAAACAAACAAACAAACAAACAAACCAAAAAACCAAAAAAAGAAGGAGTGGCCAAGAAAGAAACAGGGGCTCCATCTCAGGGAACACTAAGAGGTGGATCCAGAATGAATGGGTAGGGACCCAAGCTATAGCCAGTTCAGATCAGTGAAGAAGAAAAAATGGCCCCCAGGAGCACGGGTGTCTCTTTGGAAAAACACAACTACTGTATTATCTATTATAAGAAAGTGCACTTGGTTAAACCTGGGGAAGGATTTACTACATCTGACTGAGTTTCATATCCAACTTACAACATAAGAACAAGTATTAACCCAGGAAAAAACAAACAAAAAAATGGAAAGAGAAAGTCATCACATTTCCAGTTTACTGAATTTAAAATGGCATTGATTATAAAAAACATTAAAGAAAAAACTATTGTCCATTATAAAAAAGCAAACTGTAAGTTATAAGATACATGAAAATTTTAGGGAAACTAAAAAGTTTAAAAATGTGCTTTTAAAATGGGTGAAAATAACATCCTCTTTGGCTTCGCAGTGCACTACGTTAGCAATGATCATTGATTTATCCATATTGTGATGCAAATTTATTGCATGGATGAGAAGAGGAAAAGTATGGATGTTCATCTCTGTGAGAAATTTAAGTGCTAAAAACTCATGTACTGAAATAGAAAGGAATAACTTAATGTTTAGAACTGATAAATAAAAAATTAGTAGCATCCATCAAACACATCAATATAGCTGCAGGGAAGAAGGGCCGAAATAGTTGGAAATGGCAGCCCTATGGGCACTGGATGAGGGTGGAGAGGTTGAGTGAAATAATTTTGAGGATGGTTATTTTTCATTAAAAGTCTTTTATAAGGTCATGATGCATGCTTAACATAAACATGTTGCTTCTGTGTAAACAAAAGTAAACACACAGGTACACATACAACCTTTTTGGAACTTGAAGTTGGGACAGATGTGAGATTTGGGCCCCTGAACCTTTCTCAGAAACACCTTGCCCAGACTCCAGGTTAAGACAAGCTCACATCCTGCTGAGTTGCCTCCAGGAGGGCCAGGAACCTTCCTGTATCCGCCTTCTTTTTTGTCTCCTAATGGAAGCATGACCAAGGATGGCCCAGAGTCCTCTTATCTTTGTGGAAAGCTTTAGAGTTTACAAATTCCTCCACATATTTCAACCCATTTGATTTTTTTCTGTTAATCGGAATTAAAACCATGGCTTTGCACCTGCTAGGTAAGTGCTCTGCAACTAAGTTGTGTCTCCAGTTCTAACCCATTTGATTCTGACCAAGTGTGACTATCGCCATCCACCTGGGTAGGGTCTGAGAGTGGCATGGTCACTGCTGGCCCAGTCAGCCCAAATTCAGTTCAGCCTCCACTCGCTGTAGAATCACAGAGGCACATTTTTATTTTGAGGTGCTATAGTCCCCTAATGTTATTCTGTCCCCATGGCTTTTTAGAGGAAAGAGGAAGAGGAGAGGAAGTGGGGAGAGGAGCAGATTCGCCTTCAGGAGGAGCAGAGAGCGAAGGAGCTGTACTGGACCCTGAAGCAGGCACAGCTGCACAGCCAGTGCAGTGAGCACGAGGAGCGCGAGTGGAAGGAGCAGTGTGAGTAGAGCTTGCATCCCAGAGAGGACCCTGGCCCTGTCTTGCTACCCATGCTCCTGCAGCCAGCATTGCAGTCCACTCACTCATACACAAGTCTTTGTCCAGGGCAGAATGCGAGTGCATCCTACCATGCACCCATAGGGCAGGGGCTCCATGCTCAAGGAGTTCCATCCCTGTTCTGGAGATTTCTTACATTAAAAAATGAAATGCTACATTTCCTGAGCTTCCAATAATTCCTGGCTCCGTGCCATGCCCCAGGGATCCTGAGATGAGCTATCTTGGTCCTTATGTTGGAGGGACTCATCAGCCAGAGTGCAAGACAGACACAGGGACTTGATGACACAGGAATTAGGGAGGCCCAGCCTGGAGAGCATCAGAGGCAAGAAAAGTCAATCAGGAATGAGGAGGTGGAACCAAGTTTGACAGGTGTTTCATTTGTGCCCAGGGTTTGTTGTGGTCAGGTAGGATAAGACATACAGGCACAGAACTGACTCAAGAAGGAAGAAGTCAGGGCAGGAAGAGTGATGGGGATGGAAATGATCCAAATATGTTACGTGCATGTACGAATCTGCCAAAATGAAACCCATTGATCTGTATAACCAACGTGAAAAAGAAAAGACTGATTAGGACCTCCCCAAAAAATAAAAAGGAAGGAAGAAATGTTTTAGTATATGTGCTGCCGAAGCAAGCACGAGGAAGAAATGTTTACAGGAGCAGAGAAGGCCACCTGGAGAGGCACCAGGTTCAGTCAGGAGACAGAGGGAGTGAGGGGAAGCAAGAGCATTTATTGTGCTGTCCTCAGGAAAGGTGTGACAACCAGGTTTAGGACTGGCCAGTCTGGATGTTCCCTGGGCACTGGGGTAAAGTGGCTGTCTCCAGGTTCCTGGTATCTGTCCCTCTGGGATTAGGGAAGGGGATACAGGCCCAGGGGGTAAGAGCTAGTTAGGGGCTGGGGGCATGGGTTTGGGTTGGCTGGTTTGCAGCTAAGTCCTTGACTTGTATGTCAGATTCATTCATTAAACAGGCCCTTTTGAGAAATTGATGTGTCATTCATTAATCACAAAATTTATCCTTTTAAAGTATTTTTTTGTAGTAAACTCACAGGAGTGTAGAACAACACCATTATCTAATTCTGTAACATTTTCATCACCTCAAAAAGAAACTTGGTACCAATTGACATCCCCCATCTAACCTGTCTCTGATGGATTTGCCCATGATGGATATTTCACATGAACACAATGATATATTATATAGTCTTTTGTGTCTGATTCTTTTATATGGCAACTGCAAAGGTCCATCCATGCTGTGGCATGTATCATTAGTTCATTCTTTTTACAGTTGAGGAATATTATAATTCATGCATATGCCACATTTTTGTTTTTTAGTTTAGCAGTTGATGGACATTCAGGTTGTTTTCCCTTTTGGGTTATTACAAACAATGTTGCTATGAACATTCATGTGTGTTTTTGTATGAGCAAATATTTTCCATTCTCTTGGGTGCATATCTAGGGGTGGAGTTCCTGGGTCACATAACTGTATTTCACATTTCAGGTAACTGTATGGTGTTTTCTACAGTGACAGATCCATGTTACATCAGCAGTGTCTGAGGGCTTTTCTTTCTTCATGTCCTTGCCAGCACCAGTTACTGCTGGTGTCTTTGACTACAGACAAACTAATAGGTGCTGAAGTGGTAGCTTATTCTTGTTTTGATATATTCTTTTCTAATGATTAACGAAGGGAAGCATCTTTTCATCTGCTTTATGTTCATTTATATGTATTATCTTTGGAGAAATTGCTATGCGAGTTCTTTGCCCATTTTTTGAATATTTTGTTGATGTGTAAGAGTTCTTTACACATTTTGGATATTAATCTTTTATCAGAGATATGACTTTCAAATATTTTCTCCCGTCCTTTGAATTGTTTTAAAATAATTTTTTTCAATTTTGATGATATTCAATTTATCTATTTTTTCTTTTCTTGCTTGTGATTTATGTCATATCTAAAAATCCCATAGCCTAATTCAAGGTCACAAAGCCTTAACATCTATCTTTCTTCTAAGAGACTGATAATTTTAGCTTGTACATTTAGGTTTTTGATCCATTCTGAGTTAACTTTTGTGTGAAAAAGGGCTCTTGCTTGATGCAGTTGTTCAAGCACCACTTGTTGGAAAGATTATTTTTAAGTACTTGGCACTCTTATGAGATCAATTGAACAAAAATGTAAGTGTCAACATCTGGACTCTCAATTCTATTTTATTGATTCTTATCTCTGTCTTATGTCAGTACCACACAGTCTTTTAACTTTGTGGTAAATTTTTTTGAAGTTGGGAGTATAAGACCTCCATAGTTGTTCTTCGTTTACAGGATTGCTTTGGACATTCTGGGTACCCTATATATACCCATATGTGTTTTAGGATCAGATTGTTGATTCCTGCAATAATTCGAGCTGAGATTTTGATAGTAATTACATTAAATTTGTAGATCAATTTGGGGAATACTGTCATCTTAACAATATTTAGTCCTCTCATTTGTGAATACAGGATGCCTTTCTACTTAAGTTTTATTTAATCAATTTAAATACTGTTTTGTAGTTTCCAGTATTCTTTTGTCCTTGTTGCAATGTATCTTTAATTATTTATTATTTTTGATGCTATTATAAATGGAATTGATATTTTATTTTCATTTTGCATTGTTTATTGCTAGTGTATGGAAATGCAATTGACTTTTGTATATTGATTTTGTACCTTAAAATCATACTACACTTGATATTAGCTTGAATCAATTTTTTGTGTATTCCTTATGCTTTTCTACATACAAGATAATTTCATGTGCAAATAGATACTTTTACTTATTTCTTCCCAATCTGGATGACTTTTCTTTTCTTTTCTTGCCAAATTGCTCTAACTAGAGCTTCCAATATTTTGAATAAAAGCAGCAAAAGCAAGCATCCTTGTTCTTGGTTTAAGGGTAAAGTTTTCAGCCATCCTTCACCAGTAAGTATATTAGCTGTGGGTTTTGCATATATAAGTTTAGTGGACTGAAGAAGTTCCTTGGTGCCCTAGTGTGTTTTATCATGAAAGGCTGTTGGGTATTGTCAAATGCTTTGCTAGTACCCATTAGGATTATCTTATGTTTTTGTTCTTTATTCTATTAATATGGTGTACTCCACAGTTGAGTTTCATGTGTTAAATCAATCTTGCATTCCTGGGATGAATACCTTTTGTTCACAGTGCATGATCCATTTTATATGTTGCTGGAATTCAATGTGTTAGTATTTTACTGAGGATTTTGTGTATGTGTTCATGAGGGAAATTAGTCTGTAGTTTTCTTGTGGTGCTTTTTCGTCTAGGGTAATACTGGCCTCAAAAATGTGTTGGGAAGTGTTCACTCCTATCATTCTGTGAAGGATTTATGAAGAATTTGAATTAATTCTTTCTTTAATATTGGGTAGAATTCACCAATAAAGACATCTAGTCCTGGAATTTCTTTGTAGGAAGTTTTCCTGATTAGTAATTAATTTCTTTGCTTGTTGTGAGCCCTTTTTTCTTGACACCTTGGATTGTTATAAGCCTTTGGTTAATTTCTAACATTCTGAAAAAGTTGATTCTGACAGTTTGTCAAAGTTTTTACTGCTTATGAAGAAAAGGATTTTCAGAGGTCCTTAATTCACTCTTTCTACTATGTCCTCTGAGCTGATAGCTATTAATTCATTGTGGACCCGGAATACTTAATTTATGGGCCATCTTCATAGATATAACTAGGTTTCGGCAAGGTTGGTATGTGATAAGTATCTATTTTTGTGTTACAGTTTTAAAATTCTAAATGACCCAGCACATAACCAACTACTAGAAAAGAAGTAGGTTAAAAAGAAGTTAGATAAAATGAAGAATTGATTAAATTGCAAATTTAACTTTTATTTTATATTTTACATTTTTTAGCACCTTGAAGCTGTTATGGTTTAGATCTAAAATGTCCCCAAAGGCCATGTGCTGACAGCTTGATGATTGGATCATGATAGCTGTAACTTCATCACTGATTAATCCACTGGTAGATTCATAATTTTAAGGCCATATAGGGAGGAGATAGAAAGTTAGGCAGTGGGGCCTAGTTAAAGGGTGTGGGTCATGGAGGCATGACCTTGGGGATGACATTTGGTTTTCACCTTCCCCGCCTCTCTCTGTGCTTGTGGCTACTATGGGATGGATAGCTTCTCTTGACCATGGCCTCTGCCATGATGCTGTGCCTCACCAAAGACCCAGAAATAATGGAGCCATTTGACCATGGAGTGAAACCTCTGAAACTGTGAGCCAAAATGAAACTTTTCTCCTTGGTTTGTTTTTCTTTTTTGGTATTTTGTTACAGAAATGGAGCTGGCTAAACCAGAGGCAGATGCAATTCACAAGACATCAATATCCTTCCTGATTCTCAGTATTGATGTGTGTGCCAGTTATTTTTGTCAAGTTGACTGCATTAAGAGACTCCAGGAGGGCTGGGGATTTAGCTCAGTGGTTTCGCCTCCAGGAGAGGTGACTAAATCATGGGGGCACTATATTCATTAGTGAGTCAATCCACTGATGGTCCCTGCTTAATGTGCTGCTAGGAGCTGGGGTCCAGTTAGAGGTAGGTTACTGGGATGTGCCTTTGGAGTGCATATTTCTTTCTGGCACTTTTCTGCTGGGCTCTGCTTCCTGGATGCCATGAAGTGAGGAGATTTCTTCTGCCATGCCTTTCTGTCACGATGTTCCTGCCTCACACGCCAGCTGACCATTTACTAAAATCTCTGAAATTGTGAGCCAAAAATAAACCTTCCTTCTATGAATAGTGGGTGTCAATTAGTTTTTCCCAGCAACGGGAAAGCTGACCAATACATTGACCTTGACAGGCCTCTTGTACCTTGGCATCCCTCTGTGCCAGGCCCAGACCAAATGTCATCCTGTATGGAAAGTCTCAAAGCATCCATATCATCATGATGTGATCATTTCTCAACCAGGCCCATGTCTC